CTATCATTATTGGTAGCCAGAACTTTATCTCAAGAATTGACTGGTTCTCTGTACCACCTATCGTATTCGATGGAGTTGTTATCCCTTACTTTGACAATGTCAAAAATCTTGGTATTTATATTGATAATTCCTTAATGCATAAACAAATTCTACAAATTTCACTAAAGGCCATTCTTGTTTCCTATAGCTTTAATATAATTGGATTCACTTTTACATCAATAAACAGGAGTTTTCAAAAACAATAAAATGCAGTAAGGCAGGCAGTTATTATGCCAAATATTATAATCCAAAACCAAAACAAAATAATTTTTTAGGCGCATGACACAATTGAAAGTTACCAGTCAATTTGACAGTTGTTGTTGTTGTTTTTATTATTCGCTCGAGAGAGCAGGCAAAGGAACTATGCCATACAGTCTTATCTTCATGTATAATTATCCTTCATAGTTTACTGCTTCACAATATGTTGGATGCGTCACATTGTGCAGCCCTTGGGAAATTTTGACGGTAACTTGAGCCAGCAGGCAGCTGACAGTTGGCGATGGTATCTAAAGGCGCCTATGCAAACAAACAGCTTATCTTGAGAATCCATCACCATCAGAGCACTTGTTTCACAGTTTCCACTAATAGTTCACATGCGCAGACACTTAATACACAAAATCGCACCACTTTTACATATCAAAGTCCACTTCAAACCATTATTTAAACAATAAAAACAGGAGCAGCAAATCGCCGCCGGTCAAGTTCCCGCCAAAAAACTCGCAATTTGCAGCATCAAATTGACAGCCATTGACAGCATCAAATCTCCATTACATGTTTTATTAAGATTTTTAGCTTGGATGCTTGCCCATTAAGAAATGTCTTCATTTCATTCGTGATCTTCGTTTTTACAAGTTGTGTATCGCCAGCAACACAAAATCAGGAATTTGCATTTAGAAAAACCCAAAATTAGGGGCATTTTAGGTGCTAATTAGGTGCCAAGTTTAAAAATTAGGTGCTCTAAAATTATCACCGCAACGAACAGTTGAAATTTTGCGTTGCTAGCAAAACGTCTCGCAATGAAGTTATTAGATATACGATAAATATTAATAGCAAGGAATTAAGTGCCAAATAGCTGCTGCGAGTAAAGGCAATGACAAGGCGCACCTAACAAAAGTAAAGTCGTTATTCAGAACATAGCAGATGCAAAATTCAGGTTTTCTGAAAATCAAAATAGAATCAAAATTGCTTTTAGAAAAAGTCCAAATTATTGGCTAATTAGGTACCAAGTTTAAAAATTAGTTGCTCTAAAATTTTCACCGCAACAAACTGTTGAAATGTGAGTTGAAGGAATATTGACACAGTTACTTCTGCAACGGCTTCGGCGCTGCAATTAGGTCTGTACTTAGGTCCGTAACAATTAGGTTACTTTCAGGTTCACTTGTAATCAGGGAGACGCGGCTGCCCATCTTGTAGTTTGTTTCCCTCCGTCGCCTCTTGCGACACCCACGGCACGATATGGGGTAGTGGATTGTCTTATACCATCACCTTAACTATATCACGTTATGATGCAGTATGGTGGTGTCTGTCTGTACGTGGTAGAGCCACGCTACAGCTTGATTATGGTTCTAGCTCGACCGGGGTAGGACCACGCTCTTAAAGAACACCAGCATAAAATAGCAGCTTTCGTGAGAAAATAGTGTTTCGTATGGTGAGTGTAGAGAACTGGAGACGCTTTTAACTGGTAACGAGTCATTCCTTCTCAGGCCTCATGGTGACAACGCATCTGCATTTTATTTCTTAATTGAGGATAAGGATTCTTAACCGATTCGTTACGGCACGGATTTTCGACAACTTTTAGCTGTGGCGGCGAACAAATAGTTCATGACACGCCTGGCGTGCCATCAGCCATGTGTAAAAATATTTAATTTTTTATGCCTTTTTCACTTGATTAGACTTAATTAAGTTTAGTTGACATCAAACATCAGTTACAAACGGAATGATACTTGTTTTTAGTGGGTAACTACATGTTTTTCTACGTGTTTTCTTTGAAATTAAGAGTAATTGACTTTTTTTTATGCAGAGATTACAAACCTTTTGAACTATTTTTTGTTTTATAAAAAAATCATTTATATAAGTAGGTACGGCTAAATTACACTGGAAAACTTTGGTTTTTACTAAATTAAATTTTCACCTAATATTAACATTTGTAAAAATATCAAACAAAAAAAAGAACCTTAATTTGTAAAAAATTAGGTTTATGATTCATTAATATTAACAAATATTAATTTATTTATTTATACTCTTTATTGCACACAAAACACTACACAACACAGCAAACTTAAATTTATCAACGAATGTACAATTAGGTTTTTTTTTTTATAGGATAAGGGTGACAAACGAGCACACAGTCCACCGGATGGTAAGTGGTCGCTGTGGCCCATAGACATCTACATCTATCTTCGACTAAGAGTCAAAATGCAGATGCGTTGTCACCCGTGAGGACTAAGATAGAATGCCTCGTTTCCAGTAAAAACGGTCTCCGGTTCTCTACACTCACCATACGAAACACAGCAGCGTTAAGCTGCTATTTTACGCTGGTGGTGGTGAAGGAGATAATTTTCATTTAAATATATAGAAGTGTGCATAAATAGTAGATAAAAAAGCATATATTAAAAGTACATGGTATATACAATATATAAGAAAATGTAATAATCTAATAAATAATATTATACATACATATACACATAAACAAATATATACATACACACATACATATACACATATACCTACATATACATACATAGAATACATACACTTATAAATATTTCTGTAATACATTATAACTATATACATATACATAAACCTTATCAAGAAAATTAGATATGACAATAAAATATATTAAGTAGAACACATATTTAAATAATAATCTTTACCCACATTTTTGAAAGCCTCAATGCTGTGGGCTTTTTTAATTGTTAAAGGAAGCGAGTTCCATAATTTCATTGCTTTGACACAATAGGAGGAATGAAAACATTTTGAGTTGTGAGCAGGCATATGCAGTAAAAGTTTATCAGCTATTCTGGAATGATCTTTATTTGCGCCCAATAAATATTATTATTATTGGGCGCAAATAAAGATCAAAAAATAAAATAATATAATATATAATATAAAATAATAATAATATTGAATATTATATAATATTATTATTATTATTATATATAATATTTAATGTTATACAAATGTAAAAGTAAAGTTGATTTGAAGACGTCTAATTAGTAAGAATAGCAAAACAAGTGTTTTCAAAAGGAAACAAACGCCGACGCTATACGGCGGCGGATTGACAAAAGACTATTTATTAGCGAACTTTTTTATGCATAACCGGTTTCAAACTGTTTCAAGCAAAAATAAACATCATACCATATCACAAGAGCACATGGTACTTCGTAGGTCTATTCGGCCATATGATAGTAATAAGACGGCAGTTCAAGCATTTTAAGCAAAATTAAACAATAAGACAAACGCATTGTTTTTTTTTAACAGGAGACTTGTTTTCAGAAATTTATTTACAACTTGAGTTTGTGAGCGATCGCAATGAGTGCTATTATTTGTTATTTATTAGACTATTTTTCCACAACATGATTTAAAACCCACAAAGTAAAAAGAGTACCATGTACAAGAGTAAAAAAAGTTTATTAACCCCTAAAAATTTCAATTTTTCAAAATATCCAGAAACGAAGCCGCAGGCATGAACTACTTGCAAAATAATGACTATTTTGTTCTGGATAAATTTTCCAAAACCGCAATTTGAGCGAGTTATAACGATTTTTAAAAAGACACGACTCGTGTGTCATACACCACACACAAAAGTAATCGATGGCACGCCTGGTGTGCCATCCGCACTGAACCGGTTAATTAAATATATTTTACAAAAAAAAATTGACTTTATATTCCTCCCGTAAAAAACGCCAATTTCATATGTAAAGACCTAATTGTTACGGTCCTAAGTACAGACCTAATTGCAGCGCCGAAGCCGTTGCAGAAGTAACTATGTCAATATTCCTTCAACTCAAATTTCAACAGTTTGTTGCGGTGAAAATTTTAGAGCAACTAATTTTTAAACTTGGTACCTAATTAGCCAATAATTGGAATTTTTCTAAAAGCAATTTTGATTCTAATTTGATTTTCAGAAAACCTGAATTTTGCATCTGCTATGTTCTGAAAAACGACTTTATTTTTATTAGGAGCGCCTTGTTATTGCCTTTACTCGCAGCAGCTATTTGGCACTTAATTCCTTGCTATTAATATTTATCGTATATCTAATAACTTCATTGCGCAACGCAATGAAGTTATTATATATGTGATGATGTAAGACAATCCACTACCCCATATCGTGCCGTGGGTGTCGCAAGAGGGCAGCCGCGTCTCCCTGATTACAAGTGAAAATAATAAACAAACCGCGGTTGCCAACCCACCAGCATGGCAACTATGGCAAATATGACGCAAGCCACGGGGGACGCCTATGTTCAACAGAGTAGTTTTAAAGGCTGTACCGGTAACGATAAACGGCAAAGCGAAAAAAGAAAAACGTAAACTATCATTTAAATTTAAAAAAAAACCATGAGGGGTCTAGTCTGTTTCCACTAACCTCCATTCACACATATGGTATTTATTTTAAGGTTCCAATATTTTTTGCTTTCTACCGACTTCAAAACGGAGGAGATACTCAATTCGACTGTATGTTCTTTTTATGTTTGTTACCTCATAGATTTTTCTGCATGAACCGATTTCGATAACTCTTTTTTTATTTGAAAGCTGGTGCTTCACATGTCTGGTTTCATATAGATTTGATCAAGGTCTGACCAATAGTTTTTGAATTATTCTTAATAATCTATATTGAATTCGGTTGCACAAAATTTTAAATTAGGTATTGAATTAACATCTTCAGAACAAATGCAGTTTCAATTTGCACATAAGGCACGGAAAGGTTTTTTTTACTAATTATACAATTACATCACAAATTAACAAATCATAGATTTTTATTTGGTACATATTTATATAAAACACGTTTACACAATATTGTACATATTTTACCAGATAGCTCACGAAAAAGGTTTTACTCCAGTGTGTTTTTTTAAATGTCTTTGCAAATTACCTTTTGTAATACATCTATATTCACAGATATTACACGAAAAAGATTTTTCACCGGTGTGTATTTTCATATGTGTTTTCAAACGACTTTTTAAAATACATCTATATTCACAGATATTACATGAAAAAGGTTTTTCGCCGGTGTGTATTTTCATATGTGTTCGCAAAATACTTTTTAAAATACATCTATATTCACAGATATTACACGAAAAAGGTTTTTCACCTGTGTGTATTTTCATATGTGTTCGCAAAGTACTTTTTAAAATACATCTATATGCACAGATATTACACGAAAAAGGTTTTTCACTGGTGTGTATTTTCATGTGGATTTGCAAATTAGTTTTTGTAATACATCTATATTCACAGATATTACACGAAAAAGGTTTTTCTCCAGTATGTATTTTCATATGAGTTTGCAAATAACTTTTTGTACTACATCTATATTCACAGACATTACACGAAAAAGGTTTTTCCCCGGTATGTATTTTCATATGGGTTTGCAAATGACTTTTTGTACTACACCTGTATTCACAGACATTACACGAAAAAGGTTTTTCTCCGGTATGTATTTTCATATGTGTTTGCAAACTACTTTTTCTAACACATTTATATTCACAATTATTACAACAGTACATTTGTTTAGCGACGTGTGCTTTAAGATGTGCCAAAATGTAACGTTTTTGAGATGTTTTAAATTCGCAAATATCGCAATTAAATATTTCTGTTTGTTGTGGTACTGGAGTTTGTTCAACTTGTGTCCCAACTGCAATGGTGTCTGAGTTCTTTTGCCTCTTATGACTGTATGAAATGTGTTTGGCGAGAATGTCTTTTGTTGAAAATTTTTTACTACAACCATCACATTCAAAAATGTATTTAGTTGATGTCCTAGATGTTTTTTTCTTAAGCATATTTACACTCTTTTGTTTCAAAATTTTGTTTTTCATAATCTTTGCAGGATGCTTTTCTTTTATATTAATTGGTAGATTATCTTTTTTCATTTTAGGGTTTGATTCAATAGGAGGGCCTTCCAAGTCGAGGTTTTCTTCACGAACATCGTTTATATTAAAATCAGTAGAATTTGATTTAATCTTCTTCTCAGAAGTTTCTGAAAAATTATTTGTCGAAGTTAAACTTTTTATTTATTGTAAGTTATTGCATTTTTATTACAAGACACCTTAAACGGTTTACAAGGGGCGGAGTTTATGCGTTATGGCATTCTCTATCAGTTAACCCAGGGAGAAATAAGGAAATTATAATATTTTACATAATAATACTAAATAATGTTGCTAGATATAATCTAGCCAATTACTCTGAATAATGTCTCTCATATTCAATTTTCGAGGAAAATAATGGTTTTTCTGACCATGTTATAATTGCATTAATCTAATCGCTGTACACAAGCTATACACAAAGTACGGCCGAAGTTAGCGTGGAAGTTCATGAGAGAATTCATAATCACATTTTATCCCGTGGATTTCGTAAGAGGAGACTGTTCGCGCCCAACGCTAATGTCAAGAATCGACGCCAGAGGGCGCTCGGTTCGGCATTATACCGGTTTGACGTTCGGGCTAGCTTGGGTGTGGCGAGAGCGCGCGAGCGCAAAGAGTCGTCTGCCAGCTGTGTTAACGTCAGCACGCTGTGAATTTTTGTGCGGGAAACGCGGAATAGTTTAGTCGTCTAGTAAATATTTTTTTTTATAGGATAAGGGTGACAAACGAGCACACAGTTCACCTGATGGTAAGTGGTTGCTGCGGCCCATAGACATCTACATCTATCCTCTGTTACAAATCAAAATGTAGATGCGTTGTCACCCGTGAGGACTAAGATGGAATGCCTCATTTCCAGTAAAAAGGGCCTCCGGCCACCTGCACACACCAAGCGAAACGCAGAGGCAAACCTCTACTTCACGCTGGTTTTCTGTGAGGTCGTGGTACTACCCCGGTTCGAGCCGGCCCATCCGTGCGACAGCAAAAGCTACCGCGTGGCTCTACCACTGTTTAAAATAAAAAATATACTGTCTAGGATTTGTACCGCGCATTCCTTGTTTGATAGCCTTTCCCGGGACTTATTGTGTCTAACTCAGAATCTGTATAAGGGCATTCGACAATGTTAACTACTATTTTAGAAATAATTGTTGCCACGCGAAACGGTAGTGACCTTTGATCCGGACATTCGTATTCGGGCGGTGTGTTACGTTTTTGCTTATAGTAACGGGATTTCATATATATATAGTGGGTTATGCTTTATAACAAACGAGAGTTAGTGGCTTCTTTAAGTTAGTTAATCGTACGATAGAGTTAATGGACTGTCATCGTGACGAACGAAGAAAGTGACTGTGGACGGCGCCGCGGAAGGTTACCTTAATTTGGAGCGGTGCTGACGTCCGGGCTGCTGCCGACGGCAACGGTCTAATAAGGTCAATCACCACCAGTCACACCCAGATACACATCACAGCACCTTACTTCCCTTGCACCACACAACCACATGCGACCTGACCGAATCCTGAGGGACCAGTCGCCTTGGATATAGGTAAGTAAGCTCGGTTTAATATTCTCCCTGTTGAATAGCAGCAAGATCGAACGTCCCCCCTTATTGTTTATTGTTATTAGAGATTTTCCACTTTGGCCTTAGGAGGCCCGACCTGCACCTGCTTGTAAGGTCTTCCGCTATGGGCCCGGAAGATTCTACTCTTATTTAGGCAGCTGTAGGCCGTAACAGGAGACTATGGGTTTTTTCCAGAAAAATCTGATGGCTTCCGACAGATGCCGGTATAACCACCTGGTTTACTTCAGATGTAAAATATCCAGACAGGCGTCAGGCAACATTGCCAGAGGTGCTCACGTTTGGTTCTGCGATCGTCAGTCCTATGCCAAGCGTAACGCTCAAGGCAAATACTCCCTACATCGGGAGAGATTCTTCCATGTTCAGCAGAGGAAGTTTACGGGAAGATTAAGATAGAGGAATTATTTGCAGGCCATACAAAGATTCATAACAAGCCCTGGTAGCTCGGAGGCTTTTTTGTTTACCGTAAAATTTCACAGTACGCTAGCAACCCAGGTCCGTCCTCCACTGGCAGCAATAAAATAGTTAATTTTGTAAGTAGGTATGTATGTATTTTGTATGTATGTATACATACATACATACACGCCGTTTCCGTTCTATCGATCCTAACAGCTTCGATGGAAACCGTATTGAAGGCCACTAATCAGCTTATGCTCTTCATGGTACCGCGTGAGCTGGCAGTTAATAATGGATTCCATTATTTTGGAGAACAAGCAGGTGACGGCGATAGGCCTGTATTTGGATAGGTCCCAGCCTTTTTTAGGAATCGAATGCACTAAGGCTTGTCTTCCATAAGCTTGGAACGACACCTAAGGAGTAAGAGAACATGACATAAACATAAAAATAACAAGAACATAACACAACAACTGCATTATAACTTTGTAATCTATACTAATATAATAAAGTGGAAGGGTTTTATCATGAGGAATAGTATAGCATTAGGCTACACCTCTCAGTTAACCTTAAATACTGATTTTTGCTAACCCGTCAAGTCAAGTGCTAGGCCATTTTACTTTTTACGCGCCAAACGTCTAAATAAATAGGCTACGATTCTCGAGAGGTACATTCATTTGAATACGAATCATCAAAGAGGTAACATCAAAATGAAGAAAAATTTAATGAGAGCTCCCTCTGTTTAAAAAATTGCCTACCAAAGACATACACAGCGACTTGGTGAAACATTGAGGGACTGTGCTCCTCCATATTTCACAGTTGCACGCTGGGCCAAGGAGCTCAAGCTGGGCAGAACATCCAAGGAAGATGAACATCGCGAAGGACGCCCATCCACATACCTCACTGTCGTATAGGTAGATCGAAGAGTGACCATCAGGCATATAGCTGAAGTCACAGGGATCTCATATGGCAGTGTTCAAAGAATCCTTGCAAACGAATTGCAAGTGGAAAGGATCTCTGCGCGTTGGGTACCGAGAATGTTACCGATGAGCAAAAGAAAAAATTCATCGACATATCGAGGGTTAATCTCGAAAGGTTCTAAGCAGATCAGATTTTTTTTATTACGTTTCGTGACCATGGGCAAGACCCGGATCTACCATTTCGATGTTGAAATCAAACAATAATCAATGGTTTGGAACCAAGCCTCCTCCAGACGCTAAAGAAATTTAAAATGCCGAGTTCGGCGGGAAAGGTTATGGCGTCCGTTTTTGAAGGAATAATTATGGTGGAATATTTTGAAAAGGGAGCCATTATTTCGAGCTTATACTCTCCACTACGCAGACCAAATAAGAACATTGCAGGAGGCTATTAAAGAAAACGACGCGGCAAATTGCGAGCGGGAGTGCTGTTTCACCAAGACAAGGCTCCGGCTCACAAAGCCGCAGTTGCGATGGCTGCCAAGAAACAGGATTTGAACTGTTCGACCACCCAACCTATTCGCCAGATCTAGCTCTCAGTAACTTCTATCTATTTCCTCTGCTCAAGGAACACCTTTGAGGCAAGAAATATGCAGACGATAGCGAAGTGATGGACGCTGTTGAGCCTTTTGGAGGGTACAGATAATTTTTTTTTTCTCAGAGAATTCTGGGATTAGAACAAAAATGAACTAATTGGATTGACTTGTTAGGAGACTATGTGGAAAAATAAATTATTTTTTTAACAATAATCACCGTGTTTAATATTCATTATCAATAATAGGGTGACAAACGATCACACAGTCCACCTGATGGTAAGTGGTTGCTGTAGCCCATAGACATCTACATCTATCCTCAATAAAGACTCAAGATGCAGATGCGTTGTCACCCGTGAGGACTAAGATGGAATGCCTCTTTGCCAGTAAAAAGGGTCTCCGGTTCTCTACACTTACCATACGAAACACAGCAGCGTTAAGCTGCTATTTTACGCTGGTTTTCTGTGAGAGCGTGGTCCTTCCCCGGGCGAGCCGACCCATTCGTACTACAACTATACTACTAATATATAAAGTTAAATAAATCCACGAAAGTAAAAACACGAAATCTATCCAAAAAAAAAAAACAATCAGCTACAATTCCAAATGCGCATGCCGCATGACAAGCTGAAACCTGAAACTCGAAGTTAACAAGTTAAGTCTCCTTCGGAATATGCAATGGTCAATGACCATACAGCCTATTCAGTCGTTAATATTCAAATATTTTCATGTTTTATGACATAGCCTATTCAATCGTTTTCTAAATATATTATTTTATTCAATGTTAATCACTACAGATTCACATCAATGTTTCAATATTATGATTTTTCTTTAACAAGGAAGGCTATTTTATTTTAAAAATAGCCTTTATTATCTATTGCCATAGACAAAATAAAGAAAGATATTTAAAAACTTTTCGTTATTGCTAAAGCAAAAGCATTAGCTTTGTATTTCAGTTTAAAAAAAATGTTTTTATCATTGTCCCAAGCATTACAGAGATAAAAACCATTTATTTTATGCTTATAAATTATCATTTTATTACCTCCATATTTTTGTATGACTGTTAGAAACGATGTCAAGCACCCAATTTTCATACATCTCCTTTGTGGTGATTTCTTTTTATTTTTTGATAAAGGTTTTTTTAACATAAATTCATTTACCTATGTCATCGTCATCTTTTTTACTCTTTGAACCAAATGCAATTAGCGGCAAGTTGTTCTCCGAATCCGTATGTCTATCTTCAAAAGCATCAATCTCCAAATCTTCTTGTTTTTCAGCATTCTCTAGAATTGTCAGATTCTCACTCAATATATAAAATAATTACTGATATGTTTTTCAAGCGACTAGATCATTACAGTTATCACACAGCTTATGGGCCTGAGCCACCCCCTTCATTACCATACTTCATGTTTCATAAACTAAGTGTAATAAACTGAAGTGGTAATGGGCCGAAGAACCGACAAACCGATGGGGAAGAGCGGTTCTCGAGTGGCAACATTGTACTGGTAGACCTAGTGTAGGGCGGCCCCCCACTAGATGGAGTAACGACCTGGTAAGACTTGCAGAAAGTCGATGGATGCAGGTGGCTAAGGCCCGTGCTTTGTGGCATTTCTAAAGAAATTGGCAAAGACAGGTTTCTTACCAGTTGTAAGTATATCATTAATTCCTATGAAATTAATCCATCTTAGTGACGTACATACTGCCTGCATTTATACAGGGTCAAAATATTTTTAAAATATGTTAATAAATAAGTAAAAAAAAATATCTAAGGAAGCTCATTATTTGACAGGAATAACCTAATGCGACAGTGTAGTTGTTCTCATGCAAAACAAAATGTGGTCATTAACTGTAACAAATTGTAAACAATCCTACCCTAGTGAACTCACTCAAGGTGTAACAGAATAGGTCAATGTCTTCAGCCATTCTATTAAGAATATGTAACGTTTGTGTTAAAGGCGCCTTGTCGAGTAAATTGGTATCCGTCTGGAACACACGGCCTAATCCGCCCCAATCATCATCATTACAGCCTTTCATAAGTCCACTGCTGAACATAGGCCTCCCCCAAGGAATGCCACAAAGCACGGTCCACGTCAAGGTCGTCACTCCATCTCATGGGGGGTCGCCCTACACTTCGCCTACCGGTACGAGGCTGCCACTCGAGAACCTTTCTTCCCCATCGGTTGTCGGTTCTTCGAGCTATATGGTCGGCCCACTGCCACTTCAGCTCATTTCTAAGTTTATCATGCAGAGAAACCCCGAGCATAGCCCTCTCCATAGCTCGCTGAGCGACCTTGAGCTTCCTCATACGGCCAGCAGTGAAGGACCACGTCTCAGATCCGTAAGTCATCACTGGCAACACACACTGGTTGTACAATTTCGTTTTCAGGTTTTGAGGTATGTCTAAAGAGAATATGTGTCGTAGTTTCCCGAACCAGAAAACCCAGCCGAGTTGAATCCGTCGATAGACCTTTCGGTCGAAGTTGGACTTACCTAGTTGGACTATTTGTTCCAGGTAAACATACTCGTCAACAACTTCGAGCTTAGTGCTCCCAACAACTACCGGCATAGGTGTGACATGGACATTAAACATGATCTTTGTTTTGTCCATGTTCATCTTAAGACCTATCTGTCGGGAAACACTATTGAGGTCATTGAGCAAAGTGCTTAGGTCCTCCAGCGATTCTGCCATAAGGACTATATCGTCGGCAAATCGAAGGTGAGTGATGTACTCGCCATTGATGTTAATACCGTATTCTTTCCAGGCCAGTAGCTTGAAAACATCTTCCAATGCAGCGGTGAAGAGTTTCGGGGATATAACGTCACCCTGTCTTACACCTCTCTGCAGTTGGATAGGTTTCGTACTCTGATTCTGTACTCGGATAGCCATCGTAGCCCTACTGTACAAGCACTTCAGCACTTCGATATACCGACAGTCAACTTGGCACCGCTGAAGGGACTGCAGCACCGCCCAAATTTCGACGGAATCAAAGGCTTTCTCATAGTCCACATATGCAAGGCAAAGTGGCAGATTATACTCTTCTGTCTTCTGTACAATCTGCCGCAGGGTATGTATGTGGTCCATGGTACTAAAGCCTTTTCGGAAACCGGCTTTTTCAGGAGGCTGGAAGTCGTCGAGTCTGCGTGCGAGACGATACATAATGACTCTCGAAAACAGCACGTAGACGTGGCTCAGAAGGGAAATCGGTCTGTAGTTCTTCAAGAGAGCGATGTCGCCTTTCTTGAAGAACAAGACCACCGCACTTCTGCTTCACGCCTCCGGAGTAATGCCACCATGCAGGACAGAAATGAAGAACTTCTGAAGGACTTCAAGTACCGGTTTTCCACCCGCTTTCAGAAGCTCCGCTGTAATTCCATCCTCGCCTGGGAACTCTCCGTTTTTAAGGTGCTGGAGAGCCATTCTAATCTCGCTCAGACTGACGCCCGGGATATCTTCGGAATAATGTCTGATAAGACTCGCTCTTGGATCGTTACTCACACTTGCGTGTGGCTCCAACGATGACGTGTACAGCTGTCTAAAGAAACTCTCAATCTCACTCAAAATCTCAGGTGTCTCGGAAACGATGCTGCCACATTCGGTCTTCAGCTTTGACAGTTGGCTCTTTCTGGCAGACAGATCCCTGGCAAAGACTTTGGAGCCTTGGTTCCGCTCGATCGCTTCTTCAATACAAGCTGTATTGAAGTTGCGTGAGTTCCGCCGCATGCATTTAGAGATCTCTGTTCAGTTGCCTGTATGCTTTCAAATCTGTTGAAGAATGAAACTTCATCTCCCGTCTAATAGCCATGAGATTAAGAGTGTGATCGGAGAGTTTTTGTGTTCTTCTGCGGCGGGTCTTGCAGAACTTAGCTCCGACCGCATGGACAGTTTCCACGAGCTTGTCATTCAAATCGTCCACTTCATTGCAGTCTTCTAGGCACTGAAAACGGTTTTGTAACTCGAGCTGAAAGGTTTCGGGAGGGGGACGGAGCGTTGACTTCATTAGACGAGACCTCTCCAACTTAACGTTTAGGTTCAGTGTGCCTCTAAACATTCGGTGATCGCTGCCGGTTTTCACCCTCGCGATCACTGAGACATCACTGAACAGTTGTCGTCTGGTCGTCATAATGAAGTCAATCTCATTTTTTGTCGAACCGTCGGGGCTCGACCAGGTCCACTTCCTGTGGGGCTGCTTCTGGAAGAAAGAGTTCATCATAAAGAGTCCCTCTTTCTCCATGAAGTCGGCCAGCTGCTGGTCCCTTGGGTTCCGTTGCCCTATTCAAAATTTCCCTACCTTCAGCTCACCGTTCTCTCTTGTGCCTAATTTTGCATTGAAGTCTCCCATTAACACCGTATAATCGGTTTTGGAGGAATGAATGACTCTAGATATATCCTCATACATATCCTCCACCTCCTCATGGGGGTGTGCCGAGGTTGGTGCGTAAACCTGTATGACCTTCAGCAAATACCGTTTGGTGATTCTGAGTATAAGGTACGCAACCCTCGTCGACGACACACTCTCAATCTTTACAACGTTGTTAATGAGAGACTTGTGGACGATAAATCCGACACCTCCTTAGGACAGATGGTCGCCCTCTCGGTGATAGAGCAAGTTGCCGGATTCGAGGATTACCGTGTCCTCCTCCTCTCTTCGGACTTTGGATAATCCTATAATATGCCAGTGTAACTTGTCTATCTCTTCTTCCAGCTCCACAATCTTCTCGTCAGTCCTCAGGGTGCATGCGTTGTATGTTGCCAGGTCGAGTCGTCTTAGGTGGCAACCGAACCTCCACCGGAGATTCTTAGCTCCTCCTGCCCCGCCGTAACCATGGTCGCCACCGTAGCCAGGAATAGCGGGGCTGCCGGGGACTGGGGGCCGTCTCTTTGTTACACTCTTCATAGGGGGGTATTTGCCATAGTTGCTACGCTTGGCGAGCGGGTTGGCAACCGCAGTTTATTTTTTTATTGTAATTTCGGCTACTATCAGGAAGATGCTGCTGCCCATCTCCTGCCTGTTTCCCTTTGTCGCCTTTTATGACACCCATGGGAAGGTATGGGGTAGTGGATATTCGTACCCACCACTACACGGCAAGCCCCAATATGTCACTATAATATTATTTTGTGTCCATGGGCTACAGTAACCACTTGCCATTAGGTAACTTTTAGCTTATTTTAATAATATCACAAAATGTGCATATCTTACCTGTTTCATGATTCCCATTTTGTTCAAAATTGTAATTCTCATTTTCGAAATTCTCTTCCTCAACTTTAACAGATTCAAGGCTAAACATTTCGTTCTTACAATCATTTTCTATATCACACTCTACTGGCCTGATATCTATATGACTAATTGGTGTGAATTGAATCTTATCTCTAGCCTCATGCGGTTTTGTTATTGACTAAAACCAAATTCTTTTGTTAAATAAGAGAAAAAGCCAGTGTAGTGGTGCTGTAGGAGAATCCATACTATCATACTATCCCGCAGATGTCGTAAAAAGGGACAGAGAGAAACTGAAACAGGAGATGGGCAGCAGCATCTTCCTGACAACAACTCCAAATATTAATAAAATCCAGGCAAAAGGAGGGTTGCGAATAAAATTACATAAGAATGAAGATAATTCATCCATCCTGAGCATCGAATCTCAACAATTTTTCGAAACAGATTCACGAATGCTGTAAATTGACAAAGATCTTTGTTGATTTTTGTTTACTGAGTAATATTACATATAGCTAATATTTCGTTTATATACAATAGAGCATGAAGAGCCGTGATAGCTCTGATGGTTAGCGCTCGATGTAAGCTTCATAGTACGCAAGCAACCCGGGTTCGATCCCCGTAAGATGCAACATAGGGAAACAGAAATAGGAGTTGGGTAACAGCATCTTCCTGATAACGACTCAGACCAATATAAACGGCGGTTGCCAACCTGCCCAATGTGGCAAAATGGGCAAAACCCCTCCTATATGAAGAAATCTATGAGGGACTTTAATAAGTTTTAATGGATGGAACGGATATTACCATGGACCCTCCTGCAAGGAACTGCTCCAGAACTGCTTTTGACTCAATAGCCTGGTGTTGTAATGTTCTGCAACGAATGAGTCTTGCATGACAGGTGAAACAAACAATTATGGGCTCCTCATCCTCATCTCTCTGAAAATATGAAAGCTCATCATAAATATGGAAAACTACTTAAATGTACAAGTTTGTAATAAAATCAGTTGGCTACCACAATTCTCTTCATCCTAATCTTACTAGTAGAATACCACCTGATAGTAAGTGAGCCCATACACATCTACAATTAATACCCAATTAAGAATCAAAATGCAGATATGCTGTCACCTATGAGAACCACTACGGAACACCTCGCCTAAGTACAAAGTATGTCTGGTTCTCTACACTCACCATACACATCAGAGCAGAATTAAGCTGCTATTTTACAATGGTATTCTGTTTAGTCCATGGTACCACCCCAGTACAGCCGACCCACCTGTGACACATAGATATATAGCAGCAGCATGACAATAATAATTTCCTATGGACAGAATTTCAATCACAATAGAGACTATTACAGGGCAGGATTATATTGCATGTGTGTGTAAGCAAGCACATGTGCACATTATTCCCTTCTCAGACTTGTGTCTTTAGGAATACAAGAAATATGAGAGTGAGGGAATTCTTGTGTCTGTAAGCACATGTGCACTCTAATCTCTCACTTTAAGTCTGATAGAATGGTTTTTAGTGAGTGGAAGACCAAACCAGGGTGGATGTTAATTTCTTGACATAATATATACTAGAACAGACACCGCGAAAAATTCTATGCAGCAGTGCAAGGAACAGAAACAGCTAAGCCCGCTGGTTCTAACGAGTGTTGCAAACAACTAAATCTTATTTACTACATACGAGAAGACTAGTATGTATGGATTTAAGGCTAATTGTTGATTTTAAGGTTCTGGTTGCACTATATTTAACGCTGCACCTTAGCCTAGCCCCGATCTATCGCATTTTATATCAGGCAAGGTATAATGTATTTCTCCGGCGATAACGACAAATTACCGCAACTTCAATTTACAATATTAAGAAATATTAACAAACTTACAAAACTGTTCGTCAATGTTTTGTACAAATTTCGGAGAGTAGTCTTCTTCAGTACAAGCATGCGAACATTAACGCATAAACAAATTCTACAAACTTCACTGAAGGCCATTCTTGTTTCCTATAGCTTTAATATAATTGGATAAAATTGAATTCACTTTTTCATCAATAAACCGGAGTTTTCAAAAATATCAAAATACAATACGACAGACAGTTACTATCACAGACTTCCACAAACTACCATAGATAAATATATATGTAGCAAGCTACTACTACTACATATATCGTCGATATTTAAATCACGTTATATCTACATTTCGATATTTATTTTAGAGTATCGAATTCGAATTTAAAATATTGTATCGTTTTTTTCGTCGTCCAACCGTCAGTAGATAAAATTTTAGACGTTATCTTTACATCATTCAATTGATGACGATATTTCGATATATCGATATTTATCACACGATATATATCGATACTGTTTAAAAATATAGATTCGATATATATCAATATATTTTATCCCTTTGCCCATCCCTACTACTACTAGTATATATTACTATACTCTTTGCTACTACCCAGTAGCCCAGTACCCACAGAACACTATTACCAAAGAGTTTAGTAATATATAAGGAAGGACTATTACCATAGATAATACACTATATACTATTACTCCTATTACCTACTACCAAAGAGTATAGTAATATATAAATCTACTACATACATTATATTCAGTGTTGTCATTGTCAACTGTACATGTAACGTACGCTTGAAAAGTCGCTAGAAGTCGCTAGCTATGGATAAAGATCAAAGGTCCCTAGAAGTCGCTAAATGATCCCAGTAGACGGAGCGCTATGTATAGAAACTGAGCGCAATTCTTTTACGTAAATCTAATTCTATATTGTTTTACGCACGGTAGTATGGGGCACAGTTTTTTGGTCTGTTGGAATAAAAGAAATTAATTTGATTTACTTAAACATAATAATATTTACAATCGGTATAAAACAATTGAAAAATATATAAAACAATTATTTAACAAACGAAAAGTCAAGAAAATAATACTAAAAATAAAATATAACACAAAATATTATTTATCGTCACCAATTTGGTGGCACCAAATGAAAAAATAATTATTAAACAAATAAAAATTCGAAAACTTAATACTTTAAATGATGAAAAAGTTTCTTCATTCATCGTCAGAAGTGAAATCTGAAACGGTTAATGTATCCGTTCTGGAACTGGAATTAAAGCCTGAAGTTGATGGCTGAGGCAGAGAGGTCCGTTTGGCAAATGAATATGATTTATTGGTCCCAATATTCTTTAGCACATTAATTGGTATTTCGTAATAACAGGCAGGAGATGGGCAGCAGCATCTTCCTGATAATAGCCAAAATAACAATAAAAAAACTGCGGTTGCCAACCCGCTCGCCAAGCGTGGCAACTATGGCAATATACCCCCCATGAGCAATGACAATAATAAACGGCCCCCAGTCCCCGGCGGCCCCGCTATTCCTGGCTACGGTGGCGACCATGGTAACGGCGGGGCAGGGGGTGCTAAGAATCTCCGGTGGAGGTTCGGTTGCCACCTACGACGACTCGACCTGGCAACATACAACGCACGCACCCTGAGGACTGACGAGAAGATTATGGAGCTGGAAGAAGAGATAGACAAGTTACGCTGGCATATTATAGGATTATCCGAAGTCCGAAGAGAGGGGGAGGACACGGTAATCCTCGAATCCGGCAACTTGCTCTATTACCGGGAGGGCGACCATCTGTCCCAAGGAGGTGTCGGATTTATCGTCCACAAGTCTCTCGTTAACAACGTTGTAAAGATTGAGAGTGTGTCGACGAGGGTTGCGTACCTTATACTCAGAATCACCAAACGGTATTCGCTGAAGGTCATACAGGTTTACGCACCAACCTCGACACACCCCGATCAGGAGGTGGAGGAAATGTATGAGGATATCTCTAGAGCCATGCATTCCTCCAAAACCCAATATACGGTGTTAATGGGAGACTTCAATGCAAAACTAGGCACAAGAGAGAACGGTGAGCTGAAAGTAGGGAAATTTGGAATAGGGCAACGGAACCCAAGGGGCCAGCAGCTGGCCGACTTCATGGAGAAAGAGGGACTCTTTATGATGAACTCTTTCTTCCAGAAGCGGCCCCACAGGAAGTGGACCTGGTCGAGCCCCGACGGTTCGACAAAAAATGAGATTGACTTCATTATGACGACCAGACGACAACTGTTCAGTGATGTCTCAGTGATCGCGAGGGTGAAAACCGGCAGCGATCACCGAATGGTTAGAGGCACACTGAACCTAAACGTTAAGTTGGAGAGGTCTCGTCTAATGAAGTCAACGCTCCGTCCCCCTCGTGCTCTAATCCAAAGTCCCGAAACCTTTCAGCTCGAGTTACAAAACCGTTTTCAGTGCCTAGAAGACTGCAATGAAGTGGACGATTTGAATGACAAGCTCGTGGAAACTGTCCATGCGGTCGGAGCTAAGTTCTGCAAGACCCGCCGCAGAAGAACACAAAAACTCTCCGATCACACTCTTAATCTCATGGCTGTTAGACGGGAGATGAAGCTACATTCTTCAATAGATTTAACAGCATACAGGCAACTGAACAGACAGATCTCCAAATGCATGCAGCGGGACTTACGCAAATTCAATACAGCTCGTATTGAAGAAGCGATCGAGCGGAACCAAGGCTCCAAAGTCTTTGCCAGAGATCCGTCTGCCAGAAAGCGCCAACTGTCAAAGCTGAAGACAGAATGTGGCAGCATCGTTTCCGGGGCACCTGAGATTTTGAGTGAGATTGAGAGGTTCTATGGGCAGCTGTACACGTCATCGTTGGAGCCGCACGCAAGTGTGAGTAACGATCCAAGAGCGAGTCTTATCCGACATTATTCCGATGATATCCCGGACGTCAGTCTGAGCGAGATTAGAATGGCTCTCCAGCACCTTAAAAACGGCAAGGCCCCAGGCGAGGATGGAATTACAGCGGAGCTTCTGAAAGCGGGTGGAAAACCGGTACTTGAAGTCCTTCAGAAGCTCTTTAATTCCGTCCTTCATGGTGGCATTACACCGGAGGCGTGGAGCAGAAGTGCAGTGGTCTTGTTCTTCAAGAAAGGCGACAACGCTCTCTTGAAGAACTACAGACCGATTTCCCTTCTGAGCCGCGTCTACGTGCTGTTTTCGAGAGTCATTACGAATCGTCTCGCGCGCAGACTTGACGACTTCCAGCCTCCCGAACAAGCCGGTTTCCGAAAAGGCTTTAGCACCATAGACCACATACATACCCTTCGGCAAATTGTCCGAGGAGTACAATTTGCCACTATGTCTGGCGTATGTGGACTATGAGAAAGCCTTTGATTCCGTCGAAATTTGGGCGGTGCTGCAGTCCCTTCAGCGATGCCAAGTTTACTGTCGGTATATCGAAGTGTTGAAGTGCTTGTACAGTAGGGCTACGATGGCTATCCGAGTACCAGAACACGAGTACAGAACCAGAGTACGAAACCTATCCAATTGCAGAGAGGTGTAAGACAGGGTGACGTCATATCCCCGAAACTCTTTACCGCTGCATTGGAAGATGTTTTCAAGCTTCTGGACTGGAAAGGATACGGTATCAACATCAATGGCGAGTACATCACTCACCTTCGATTTGCCGACGATATAGTCCTTATGGCAGAATCGCTGGAGGACCTAAGCACTATGCTCAATGACCTCAATAGTGTTTCCCAACGGATAGGTCTTAAGATGAACATGGACAAAACAAAGATCGTGTTTAATGTCCATGTCACACCTATGTCGGTAGTTGTTGGGAACACTAAGCTCGAAGTTGTTGACGAGTATGTTTACCTGGGACAAATAGTCCGACTAGGTAAGTCCAACTTCGACCGAGAGGTCAATCGACGGATTCAACTCGGTTGGGCAGCGTTCGGGAAATTACGGCACATCTTCTCGTCAGGTATACCTCAAAACTTGAAAACGAGACTGTACACCCAGTGCGTGTTGCCAGTGATGACATACGGAACTGAGACGTGGTCCTTCACTGCTGGCCGGATGAGGAAGCTCAAGGTCGCTCAGCGAGCTATGGAGAGGGCTATGCTCGGAGTTTCTCTGCGTTATAAACTCAGAAATGAGGATATCCGCAGTAGAACTAGAGTGACCGACATAGCCCAACGGATTAGTAAGCTGAAGTGGCAATGGGCCGGCCATATAGCTCGAAGAACCGACAACCGATGGGGAAGAAAGGTTCTCGAGTGGCAGCCTCGTACCGGCAGGCGAAGTGTAGGGCGTCCCCCCACTAGATGGAGTGACGACCTGGTAAGATATGCAGGAAGTCGATGGATGCAGGTGGCTCAGGACCGTGCTTTGTGGCATTCTTTGGGGGAGGCCTATGTTCAGCAGTGGACTTGTGAAGGGCTGTAATGATGATGATGATGATGAATAATAGCAGCTTTTATTGGTTCTTCTTAAAGTGTATTTAATCATTAAAATAGAGTTTAATGCCTTCAGACTCATTCAATTTCGAAGCTTCGATTTTGTAATGTACATGGCACTAAATATCCTTTCAATTTCAGCATTCGAATGAGTATTTGAATGCTTTTTTTTATTACAGTTAATGCCAGATCACACAATTCTTGGAATGGTTTTTTGTCGGCTGCATCTTTATATTGATTGACTTCAGCCCAAAACTCTAGCGTGCTATTAATGTTTTGCCATTTAACAAAATGTATGTTGTTCCACTGTAAATCAATATTTTCCAATTTTTATACATCTTCAACCCCTAACTCTTTTGCCGAATCTATAATGTTATCGTTTTGATTTTTCGTTCGCAAAAATTCGCTGACGGCTAATTTATTAATTTTGATCAATGTTTCAATATTTGGAGGAAGCCTACTTTACAATTCCCTTATCAACTTGACTGTAAAGTCAACGCATCTTTGTTTGACTATATTTGTGACATCTTCATTCAAATTAAGTTTTCGAGCACTAGTTTCAAAAGCATATCCAAGCGTAGCGTAGGGGTTTAGGTGATTTTCTTGAACTGTCGTAGTTAGTACATTTATATTTGTGTGAGAGTAAATGACTCTGTTACAAATTGATCGCAAAATGCG